GCCTTCTCTTCTCCAGGCTGAACAAGCCCAACTCCCTCAGCCTGTCCTCATAGGGGAGGTGCTCCAGCCCCCTGATCATCTTAGTCGCCCTCCTCTGGACCCTTTCCAAAATCTCAATGTCTTTCTTGTACTGAGGGCTCCACATCTGGACACAGTACTCCAGATGGGGCCTCACAAGAGCCGAGTAGAGAGGGACAATCACCTCCCTGTCCCTGCTGGCCACCCCTCTCCTGATGGAGCCCAGGATCCCATTTGCCTTTCGAGCTGCCAGAGCGCACTGCTGGCTCATGTTCAGTCTCTCGTCCATCAGGACCCCCAGGTCGTTCTCTGCCGAGCTGCTCTCCAGGCCCACTCCTCCCAGCCTGTACAGGTGCCTGGGGTTCTTCCGGCCCAAATGCAAAACCTTGCACTTTGCCGTGTTGAACCTCATTAGGTTCACCCGAGCCCAGCCCTCCAGCCTGTCGAGGTCCCTCTGAATGGCATCCCTTCCTTCCACCGTATCAACCGCACCACTCAGCTTGGTGTCGTCAGCAAACTTGCTGAGGGTGCACTCAATTCCCTCATCGATGTCGATCTAATGGACGAAAGCAGTGGAAATACGTAGGTTGAACTGCTGCAGGCTTCTTAAAACAAACTGGATAAACATTATGAAGAAATAACAAGCACATAATCAAACCTTCTCCAGCGTAAGAAAATAAGGAATGTCCTCTGTGTTTTCCATACCTTCCTGAGAAAACAGTTTTTAACAGAACTCAGTTGCTGATGGAATCACCGCATATATTTAAAAATGTACCTCACAATCTCAGTAATTAAAAAAAATCTTGCTTATTTGTGTATTTAATAGGAAAAATCAATAAGAATATTTTCAGATGTATTCTTCTACTACAGTGGACTCCAGCTATGTCAATGATACTTTTAAAAGGCATTTTCTTTTGCTACCTTGTCCTTCAGCCTGTAACTTCTGGCAAAGTCAAAGCAAATCTGTTGGAGAATATTTCCATATCTGAAGTCTTTGATAGTCATTCTCCCAGAAAATGTTTAAAAATGCTATATGTTAGATGCTTAATAACCTGAATGCTTCTTCCAGATCCTACTCAATTACTTGATGCAATGAAGCCAATCTGCAGGTTATAGAACTTAGCCCTAATAAAGTCAACAGTTAAAAATCTCACTCAAAAAAAGCAAACCAAAACAAAGAGTTGAATGTTTCTTATTACACTATGTTTATAGCAGCTATTTGTTTCACTTCTCCTAAGCAGCATTGTTAAATTTCCCCAGGGAGGTTGCAGGAGATTCGGATGCTAAGGAAATGCACTGGATGAACAAACACACAGCAGGCCATTGACTGAAAGTGAGAAGAGCTATCATACCCTCTCAGAAAATTAGCCATGACATGTCCATTTGAAACTGTCCTCAGTCTCCTCTTATCATCTTTTAACACTGAGATACAGAAATTGTGTTCAGTGTAACAGGGTAGTGGGAAAATATCATCAGAAATGAAATAATTGTTTTTGTGCTATATAAATCTAGGTGTAAAGTTTAAAGAAAGCAACTTTTTTTTTTCTTTTCCCCCAAAAGGCTTTATAAAAAGAAATACAGGCATTTAGACATGTTGAACATAATGAAGAGTATTTTACAGTGTGTTAAAATGATCTCATTTTTCAACATGACTCCACTTGATAGTTGATAACATTAATAACAGGAGATGTAAATCATGGGAAAAGTGAATGCATATTATGAAATGGATGAATTTCAGCCAGGCTTGACTATCTACAAAAACAGGCAGCAGAACTGTACTGGAAAACCAAACACTCCTACATCTTTGTACACACGCAGGCACACAGAGCACTTATGAAAAAGTTTCCTGCCAATGGTTTATGGGCTGGTTCAGCCCAGTTCTGGGACTAAGATATCCAAAAGGGAAAAAAATGAAAAAGGGGAAAAGGGTAGAGAGAGATGAGCCTAAAGACAAAACCAGTGGCAACGATCTGAGAAGAAACAAATTTACTAAGCAGGATATCGGAATGCAAGATAACACACTATAATACAATATAATACAACATAATTAGAACTGAAGCTAATACATCATATTAAATGAGAGCATCTGAAAGCCAAAGGCCTTACTCTAATGCTGAGGTGAGACAAGCATCCAGGGCCAGCAGAAAAGAAACTGGAAAATAGTTTTGACTATAAGTAGCAGACTTCAGTTAACTCTTTTACACACATCCTTTGTCCGTATAATGTCAGTTCAGCTGTTTCTTAGGAATTTCTTGTAAGAAGTGCTAGAAATAAAGAAGTACTATTTTTAACCTGCCTTCACTTTCTTATACAGATCTCTGAAGCATAAGAAGAGTGAACATGGGCCAAATATGAGGAACTGGCGTTTTATTTACTACTGCTTGTTAAGTTACTGTCACAAAATGTTAAAGCTAGACATAATTCACTGAGTATTACAGGAGACACCTTCCGTCATATAAACATAGAATGGCTTAGGTTAGAAGGGACGCCAGGATCATGTCCCAACTCCTCTAACACAGGCAGGGCCACCAGCCTTCAGATCTGATGCTAGACCAGGTTGCCCAGGGCCCCATCCAACCTGGTCTTGAACACAACCAGGGGCAGAGCATCCTCAGTCTCTCTGGGTAGCCTGTTTCAGAACCTCACCAATCTGTAAAGAACTTTCCCCTGACATCCAATCTAAACTTTCCCTCCTTGAGCTTAAAACCATTTCCCCTTGTCCTATCACTATCCACCCTTGTAAAAAAGTTGATTCTCCTCCTGTTTCCAATCCCCTTTTAAGTTCTGGAAGGCTGCAATGAGGTGTACTCCCAGCCTTCTCTTCTCTTGGCTGAACAAAGCCAGCTCCCTCACCCTGTCTTTACAGGGGAGGTGCTCCAAACCTCTGATCATCTCCCCACTGCCTTCCCCCACCCTTCCTCTTTCTTTCCCACTCATTCCCCAAAGCTCTAATTAGTACTCTAACTGACAATGTAAAGCTCATTAAGAACCTGTTTCTCAGTGTTGATTACAAAAAGCAAAAAAGCACAATCAATAAAACTCTCTCTTTGTAAACATCTTCACAATTAATTCTACCAGAGTAAGCATCAGTTCCATAAGTACAGACTGCAGAGCTCCTTCATATCCTCTAGAGATCATATGGACCCAAGTATGCATCCTTCCAATGAGCAGCAATCAGAAGCTTGTAACGTTCAGAGTTACACAGAGAATACAATTCCCCAAATTATCTTTCCCCAGCAAAGCAGGAAGAAAGCATAAGATGTAATGGAATAGAATCCCAGTGGGAGGGAGAAAGAGTAGAAGTCCTCTGACCTAACAGGAACTAGGAATCAGGAAATCATTTTCATGCTATCCACAGACAGAAGGCTATCCATCCACTGCTATGATCACAAAACATTAGAGCATCACAACACAGCCTCAGATTGCAATGATAGCATGGAATCTGTCCACCTGGTATCAAAGCAACAAGATACAAAATGAAAAAGCATCTGCTCTTGTTCTAATTTTGTAGCCCCTCTCAGATCAGGCTGATTTTTGAAAAGCTTTCCGCTCTTCTCTTACCACACAGCTTCAACTCCACTCAGTGTGTCTTCAGAACTGAAATAAATACAAATTAACAAATGCATTCTTCTCTTTCCCACATCTTCCTGAGCTACTTAGAATGGTAACACAAGGGCTTCTTTGTTCTATTTTCTTTCTAAATGAAATTTTCTTTTGTCAGGAAAATGGCTAACCAAGATATCACTGGCTGCAAACAAAGGATTTATCAAATGAGGAAATCAGCTATCTATCACAGAGAGAACCGAAGAGTGGAGAGATGTTTCAGGTATTTTGCATACAAACTTCTCAGGAGACAGGACTACAGAATCATTTTCACAATTCATTAACATTGTTCATCTAACGTTCTCAAGGAGCTTTTAAATAAATCAGTTCATAGTCTCCCCAGAGGGCAAGTAAACATTTTCCCTATTTTACAAGTCAGAGCCCCGAGAGCAGAATTCACCATGACTAACCTGGGACACATTTTGTATCTGGTATCTCTAGTATTCCTTCCTATGCTTTCCAGAAGAAATTTGGTGCTGAGTTTAATTACTTTGTAAGTAACTCTAGCTCTAGGCCCTTTGAAAATGACTACTTATCTCCATCTTTCATGCAAGGAATAAAAGCACTACTCAATTAGCAGCCACCACTCACATGACCTCAATTTTTATTGGGCATAACTTCTCCTTCCTTGTGGTAACATGGACTTGATATCCTCCAGAGAAAAGTTTGTGCACTCTGCCCCTCCAATTATCTTTCTTTTTTTTTTTTTAAACGAGCTATATAGACTGACTATTTATTTGGTTTGTATATCCAACAGGCATTTCTTCTATTTTCTTTATTTCCTAGAATCATCAGTTCTTGTAAAGGTATCTCAGAACATCATTGGAATTTCACTCCAGAGACCTAAGCTTATCACAAACTTCAAACTTCATTCTAAATGCTGATCATAAATTTACTTTGCCATGGATGTCAAAAGAATATCCACCTGTACTCTGCTGTTCAGTAAGAAAGGTGAAAAATACATAGAGTGGAGTAGGGCAACAGATTTTAGTCACCAGCAAGGAGCTAGAACATTTCGTTCTCTGAGCATGCATATAGACGCTCATAGAGTATTTTCCATTCATCTTGCCTAGTCAGAAAGATATCAAATACTATTTTAGCCTTTGAAGCTTCTCTTCTTTGCCCTATATTATATTGCTTAATATAATAAAAAGTACTGCCCCAGTTAGAGTGGTCTGCAAAAAAATAAATCTACAAAAATCCATAGTATTTCTGAAATTACATTATGGCATTAAATTTGTCTTTGGTCTTTTGAGTTTTTTTTCAGTATAGACAGAATTAAACGATTCCTTAAAACTAATGAAGGCAGTTATCATTCTCTCAGATTAATTTAACTTAATAGCAAATCTAATATCTAAACTGTGTTGAAATAAACTCACCTTAAAAATCAAATCTTTTTTCCCATAACGAAGTTCTTTCAGCTGGGCTTGGATCTTTTTTGACTGAAATAGCGAGGAGAATAGAATCAGTGTTTTTATATCTTTGCTTTTATATATTTGCTTTTAAAACCAGAATAAAAATAGCAATCTCTGACAGCATGAAAGCAGAACTGGAAGCATCACCTTCAAAACAACCTTCAGTGCAGATTAAAATGGTTTAACCATAGAATCATAGAAGTTGCAAAGACCACTAAGATCATCTGGTCCAACCATCAGCCCATCATCACCATGCCCACTGAACACATCATTCAGTGCATACAATCTGGGACAGTATGATGAAGCATGATCATTCTGGTAGGCAAATCTACCTGTGAAAGACATTTGATTAAAAGAATATAGCTTTTGCATATTCATCATCTTTGGTGTATGGAACCCACTTAAAAATAACAAATATACTATATCTCTCTGGCTTGCACCATTTAAATCAGGCAAAATAACAAAACAAAACAAAACAAAAAATTATGCTCATAGCACTGACCCACTTAAAATTCATATATTTACTACAATGATTCATCAAATGTAAAATTCTTAAGGTTTAAGATACGCTCACATCTGCTGCCTTGAGTGCTGATTAGCTCAGGTTTAGTTTCCTGAAATTCTCTGCCAGCAATGCTTGCCATACTACAGTGAACTTCATTTAATTTTAGATTTCACCTTAAGACTTACAGACATTTGTGTTGCAAATATTAAATATACAGCAAAAAGGTTCAGGTTAATTACTTAACACTCAAGATGTTGCACAGCTAGGAAAACCGAACTCGCAAAAATGGAACGTATATGGAAAGTAACATTGAGTCCAGCTGATTCTTAAAGCAGTAAACAAGGGAAGAGTGTGTATATATACACACATATATATATATATGGAAGAGTGTGTATATATACACATATATATATATACACACACTATATATATATATAATATATATATATACATACATATATATACATATATATATAC